CGTGACGACACGGCTCTTCCATTTGCGATAGGCGCACGCCCCCGCGCCCTCGAGATACGAGCCTGCCGCTCCTCGGCCCCGGCCCCGCCCCGCCCCCCGCGCCCCCGCCCTCGCCTGCGACACCCTCGCCGGCGGCGGGTCGTGACCCCCATCTCGAACCCCGGAACTACGAACGACGCGCAAACAAGTCGGTCGCGCGCTGAAAGAGGCTTTGATGTTACCCGTTTCCCTCCGGGAGACTTCGCCGCCCTGCCGGGTTTCTGCCAGTTGTAACGTTAAGTGTGCGGGATTGAAGCGATTTTGTTTAATGGTCTTTTCCCGATTTATGGGCATTTTATGGAGTGACAATGAACGATTCGGTTTGGTTCAAAAGCTCCTTTTTTAGATCGGTATTTTTCAATGCATTTATCTGCTTCTCTTGTGGCGACTTGATCTCATAGAGATTTTACGCATTTAGGGAATATTAAGTATTTGTCCATTTTTTACCTACCATGAACTGATTATTTACTTGCAAACATTATTACTGTATAAATTATATACATTCCACGGACTATTATTACAGGTTTCTTCAGAAAAGATTCGTTTTCATTCGCTTTAGGATACTTTACGTAACGTCCCAAGAGCTTCTAAATTGTTGCTAATTTCAGCAAAATGCAAATGGGCAAATGTAACATTAACTGCTAACTCGAGCAAAATGCAATTTCGAATGATTTTTTTCTTAATTTTGTGTCTTCTGAGAGATTTTGTGGAGACCAGCCTGTGTAGTTTTACATTTATTACACGTTTTGGTGAAATGTTTGACTAAAGCGTTCTTGATGCGTTTGGTTTCTACGATGATTTCGGCCACTGAACAAGTGGTAAATTTCTACGGTTATTTCATATACCATATTTTCCTTGAGAGCTGCGATTAGTTGGCGTTATTTAGCACAAGTTGTGGTTAGTTGATTATGGAGTTTGAAATACAATGCATTAGTTTCTTTGAACTGTTGGAGATATCGAGTAAATTCTGTATATTACAGATCGTTAGATTGGTTTGGATCGTCTTGCAGAGATCTTTTATTGGTTGTCAAATTGTAACGTTTATATATAAAATATGTAATGTAAATACGTTAAGAGCAGATCTCGGCATTCACGAAGAAAATGCGTTACTTTCCACGAAAAACACAAAATACTTTTTATAAGAAACATCTCGGCTGTTCGAGTGACGCCGCCTCGAGGACATTGGTCGCGGAAGTATACGATTGCAAAATTATTTTTAACTTTTGTTTTTGCCTTTATGACCAAATCATGTTAATTTCACTTCTTATGATGATCAAATACATACGATATAGTTAAGATTATGTGAATGAGAATGCGTTTGTGTTTTGTGCATTTTAATATTATAATCTGTACGTCTTTTTTATAACTTCTTGCTTTTTTGTGATTTAGTAACATTAATTACATGCTAAGAATTGCGGATCAAATGTGGTGTTCAGATGTGGTGTTTCTCGCCCCTTCAATATAATGTAATCTTACCATAAACTTATCTTTTCACGATACTTTACTGCTCGGTTTCTACGCGGATGGAAGTACTTCAGAATTTAACTTATGCCTTCTAATGGAAATTCAGTAATTGATCAGAAACTTATAATGGAAATTTTTACATTGGTTTTAAACAGTTTAAATGCGTTTTGCACTCATATTTACCAATCATGCAAATTACATAGATTACACGTTGATCTATATTTACTCTTGAACATATGTTTGTAGAGTACATTATAACTTCTCTCGTCGAGTTTTGCGGAAGATAAACACATACATCATCTAAAAATAACCCGATGCAAATTACTCCACAGCAACTGAACGCAAAGATGCTGAGTAAAGCAACATATGGCGAACCGCCGAGTGCTAAGTACCTTAGTTCCATCTCCTCCAATGTTTCAATTTACTTTGAGCAAAGCGCAGTTTCCGGACATAACTGTTTCTTTTTAGCGAGCGATGTTTTACAAGGGCGTTCTTGTCGTCGCTGCACCCTCGCGTGAGGCACCCGGCCTCGGGGTTCGGCGGCTGATCGCCCGTTGAAGTCCCCGCTGACCAACGTGTGCCCGCAGGCGCCGCCTCGGCCGCCGCCGCCCCGCGTGGCCGATCGGCGGTCACGATGCACGGCAGAGCGCGCTTCATCGCAGGCACACTTTGCTATTGCCACTCTGGCTGGAGAACCGTCTTCTCTACAAAGTTGCTTAATGTCTTGTTAATTTATTGACTCAATATCTCGGCAAAAATAACAAAATCAACTTTGACACAGAAAAAGGTATCTTTCATATCTCATATGAAATAAATTCCCCACGTAATGATGGAATGATATTAATGCAAAACGTTCAATTTCAATTCCAAGTATATTTTGGCGCAGTACCTTACACAACGGGCAAACGATCATGCGCGATCCTTCCTTCTCAACTTATAAGTGTTTAATAGTAACTTTAAGTTTCGGCTGCTATAGCTAGTTTAATAGCAAAATTTGTGGTGTTGTAACATAGCACAGTCTTTCTCATACTTCTTTTATCATATGTTAAAAATTAACTTTTAGCCAGAATTAAAGGCGGGGTATAAGTAATTTATTTGAAATACGTAAATGAATCAATTATTTGTAGTATTTTGCTGACGTACAAAAGATGTACAAAATATCGAGAAACATCAAACTGTATCCTGAATATTAATAGGAATTATGTACTTATTAAACATTTGAAATGTTATTCAAAGGGTAAATATCCACTTAAATGGAGTTCACCAAATCCGATATCTTTCTTCCCTTCCTTCTTTCAATAAAGGTTTTTTTCGTGAACCAGGAGGAAAGCTAATTCAAATACGTAGTTTTCGTCTAGAAGTAAGAAAGAATGTTTTTTTCTACGTAACTGTATATACAAGAGAACTGAACAACTGAATGCGCTTTTAGGAGTAATGTTGGAATAGAAATGCCGAAAAGCAAAGATTGAATTTTATCTTCTCTACGACCTAGGCAGAGAATTTGTCCTAGTTAGCGCTGATAAACTAGTTTCATGTAATACAATGTTAATTTTCTTGATGAAGGCAAGAAATGAAGCGAAAACTGTATTCCTGAAGATGTACTGAATATGGGAGCCAACTCGCGGATAAAACTAGAGAGATTCTGCAGTCGTAAAAGAAGGTGTTGTATATTGGTGATTCGTTAGATGGAATGAGGCTCACGAAGAGATCAGCCTACAAAACCTCGACAGGAACCATGGGTTTTTATCACGCCTCAACGCTTGTCCCATTAAACAAATGTAGGATAAAAATTCAGTTCATGCAATACAACTATTTGTTGTTTAAAAAGAAGCAAATATTTTAAGAGGGGACGATAAATAATAACTTTTCAATCAAAGTCGACTTCTTTCTGCGCGAACGTTCTCTCTCGCTAAAATAGCGAGATAAAATGTTGTTGCCCATTATTGAGTTTCTGAGGCATGTTCTAGTATGAAAATTGCTAAGTGGTTTTACAAGTATCAAACTAATGGGGCGACATACTAGCGTCTGCGAAGGCGAGAGGTTGGGCGCCCTGTGCTGCTGAGAAGGGCTCGACGCCACGCCGCAACGCTCACGGGGGTTCGCCCAGGTAGCGAAATTCCCGGCTTCCCTCTCGATGCGCCCAGAGGCCCAAAAACAACATGTTTCGGGATCTCATTATAAGCGAAGGCATCTGTGGCGTGATCTATTGTTTTTTAAACGGCCTGCTTGTTCGTAATATAAGCTACCGGTTCTTGAAGGTTTTCTCGTTTGGTTGAGATTGATGAGTGCACATGTTCGAAAGAAAATGAATTGAGTACAATCTCTTTTAAAAACCTGGATGAGTTTTCAAATTCTAGTTCCAGTAAAATAATATGTTAATGTTAGCGTGTACGTCTGCTTCACGTACGGAATGGTAGATAATGTGAAATAAAACATATTAACACCATTGTAAATAGTTTACTTAGTTTACAGTTATCTTACTACATAATTACCAGGGATCAATTGTTCAGCTGTACAATACTACATTTTTGTGAATAAAAACGCATTACTTCAATTTCCTCGTCAAATACGACGAGTAATTCACTGTAATTAAATATAACTAAATATCATAAGCGAGTCGCAGTGAGTCATTTCGGCATATTGATAATTCGCGTAGAAGAATGGTTTTTGCTGTCTTTTTATCTTATCTACTTCAACATTTATAATCATCTCGGTAACTGAATAAAAATATGCTGTGTAAAGGTAACAAACATTTTTGATAACACTTTTTGATTGTTAATGCTATTGTGATGTGTGCATACAGAAACACGCAGTGGGGAACATAATTCAATTGCGGAGTAATGATGGAGGTCTCGAAAAAAGTTCGACGGATTAAAGCAAAGTAAAGAAACTCTCTTGATGATACGAACGCAAAGTATCTCCAGGAAGACACTTATATAGAGCTGAGAAAATAGACGTAATGAAGGTGCATACTATAATACTCGCGCACAGAAACATACGAAGAGAAAATATTTTTCTGAAATATATAATCCTCTCATCGATTGTTCTAGAAATTCGATTTTTATATAAAAAAATATGGCATTGGCATTTGCGGTCGCTTATAAATTATCTCGTGGGATGTAAAATGTATCACCAGAAATTTCTTATTGCATAGCTGTTGTCATGGCAAAAGTGGCATAAAATTCTCCCACCTGGAGGGCACTAATTTATAAAGATAATATGAAGTAAAATTTACATTTCTAAATATTTAAAAATTTGAATATTCTAGAAATACAGAAAATGCAGAGTCAAGGAGCATGTTGTAGCAGTTGTGGCTGTAAAAGGTGATGTCAAGACGTAGTATAAAACAAATATCACCGATTTCTCTGAGCAGTGGTCATCGCCAACAAACCAGAAGATCGGAGACCACTATTAAGAAAGCGAAACGTAGAAACATTAGAAGACACCGGCTTCGGCCGTTAGGACTGCCAATGGTGAGATTGAGAGATAAACTAATATCACCAATTTCCCAAATCAGTTCCTGTTCCCGATAAAATAGATAACCAAAAAGCTGGTACAAAAGTCCTCGCACACAGAAAACACTTATTTAACAATATTAACTTAAAGTGAAACATTTTAAATATATTTTTATAAAATATTATATTTTAAAAGTATAAAATCGTTGGATTATCTTTATTGAATATAAGGATCTCGAGAGGCACAAAACTAATTTCTCCACTTGGGCACCTTCAGCCCGCGACAAACTTTACTACCCGAAAGCTCCCATACATATGTTTCCCCATAGAAAACACTAATTTATGGAGATGCAAACGAGAAGAGTATCTAAAGTATTAAAAAGTAGAACATTCTAAAAATACGGGAAAAGGGGATTTTCGTGGTAGCTGCAATCTCGAGTGATACAAAACTAATATCACCATCGAAGCAATCACCGTCGTAGGAGAAGCCACGACCCGAAAGCCGGCACAAAAACCCTCGCACCCAAGCGCGCGTTCATCAACCATCCAGTCCGGGCGCGCTGCGGCGGGGGCGGCGGGGTCAAGCACCATCGCGCGTGGAGGGGGACGAGGGTCTGTGCGGGGGCGCCAGAGCTCCGCGCTCGCGGGGTTCCCACTCACCTCGAACGCCTGGGGGGGTCGCGGTCGGCCGTCGCCCGCGCCACCTGTTGAGCCCCGGGGCAACTAGCGGCGGCGGCGCCGGCAACAGCAGGGGCTGGTGTCACGAGGGATGTGCGGGCGGGCGCGTTGACGCCGTATACCGGAAGCTCCGAGACGCCGTTGCCGTCGCCGGTGCCGATGTCGAGCGCACTGTCCGTTCCCGCGCAGGCGGCTGCCGACTCACTGCCGCCGCTACTCGACGCTGCTGCCTCGCAACCGGACGGTGACTTATCGCCCCGCTGCTGGGTGACAGGGAGGCGTCAATAAAAAATTGCGGAATTAAACATGATAATTCCAGGCTGTAACTCGTGCCGTTCTTGCTTTAAGTTCCTTGATTAACCTCTCAGCGTGAAATGTACACTCTGAGAACGCTTGCTGTTCTTCTTCGTCTCGCGCAGCCGTCTTCTGTTCTTCTTCTTTTAACTTCTTTTTCCGCCTTTTTTTGGGTGGTCAGTCGTCTCTCTCACGTTCTCTATTGGAAGAAGAAGAAGAGTGTATCTTCCTCCCGAACGCACTCACACACGTACACCTTTGAAATCCACTTTACCCAGCTGTCAATCATTCGTTTCACATTTGAACTCGGTCCATCTTTCACGAAGCTACAGACACCTGTCCACTAAGATTGATTCATCCAATTCACATCTACATACGGAGCGGCGCTCGCGGTCCACAACAACAACAAAAGGAAAGTGTATCGCGCACCGCGACACACGCACGGAGCACGGACGTGGTCCGCCCAGAGCGCAGCTCGCCAGACGGTGGCACAGTCCCGCGTAGCGTGCCGGCCGTCACTCGCGCGCGCGCGCACATACACACACGCACACACGTGAGCCGCCCGCTCTGCGCTGCGCCGCGCCGCGCTGCCCTGCCTGCCTGCTGGTCCGCGGTCTACCGGCCCAGCCCGCCAGCCAAGCAAGTGTCAGCGTCGATAAAACGAGGTCAGAGTGCCTCCCCTCCCGCGCCGTCCCCCCTCTTTCCCCCACCGCGCGCGCCGGCGCCCCCTCCAGCGGCGGCGGGCGCGTGGCGAGGGAAGCCGCCGGCCTATGGGCGCCGCCGCGCGCGCGCTCGCCCCGCCGCCCGCCCCCTCCAGCGTTGAAGTCTCCGCCGCGTGGAGGGCGACGCGCACTTCCCCGCCGCAGCCGAGATGCTGCGGGCCCCCGCTGGAGCGGGCGGCGCCAGAACGCTGGCGGAGCGGAGCCCGTCCGGACGTGCCTGGGGCCGCTCTCGCGCTCTAGGCCACCGGGGGCCCAACGAGTGAAACAACTTATCCGCTAATCGCAAAAGATCTAATTTAATACGAATGGAGAAGAAACTGAGTAGACTGTTGTTACAAGTTCCTTAAAGTCATGTTTATTATTCGTTTTTCGAGAGATACTCGATGGAGTCGAGAAAAGAGGAGTGGAGACCGTCCACACCTTTAGGCGAAACACGCGATATGTTTTTGGAAATTAAATGATTTTTTACCTAAACGCAAAATAAGTAGTGCAAGGAAATTGTACGTGAATTGGAACGTTTATTCTTCCTTGTTTGGGAGATGTGTGGAGGGTCCTTGGGAGTGGAGTTGCCAATAATCCTGTTGTACAGACACCGTCACTCGCTCTCGAAGCCATCTTGTTTCCATCAAATGCCATGCAATAAAAACATCGTAATTATCTGTCAAGTATCGACCAGCAAAATTTACTTATTATCATAAAAAATGTATCTCCTTACAATAAAATGTTAACTAAGTAAGAAAAGTACAAGCTATGAGATTGTGGTTGAGGTCTTCTTTCCCTCACGAAAATCGTTGTTTTATTTGAGTTTCTCTCTCAAATACGTATCTACTTATACTCCACAAACAAAGGAATTATATGAAGTCAAAGTAAAAAAACTCATAAAATGAATGTAATAGCTGATTATATAATCGCAAGGAAGAAAATAGGGTATACTCATTTCTAAACTTCGATATAAGAAGAGAGTAGAAAATTGTGTTGTTTTTGTATTGTTGTTTTTCAATCTATTGCAGTGTGGTTTATAATACGCAGGTAAATTTGAAATCTGTGCATTCTATACAGTGACCCGCCACAGCTGCGACAGAATTGGTTTATTTGAACTAACAACAAACTTATGTAACATACATGCATATCGATATGTGAATTGCTAACATTTGTTAATATAAATAGTTGTCATTTGTAAATATTACTACTGCATATATTTGTGAATAAAAGTACAACTATTGGTAATATATAGTTTAACTGTCCTGTAGCGAATGGAATTTAAAAGTCCTTCGTGTAATTTGTAAATAAAATAATACCAACACATACATTAGCAGATTTACCGCCGTTTCCCTTCAAGGCTCTTTTGGAACCTACGAGTCTACGAATCATCCAATGTGTAGTATTTTACAAAGCACTATAATTTTAATTTTTTCTGATTTTTTTCTGATATCTGCAAAATATCTTGTATTTATGTCCTGTTCTCAGAACATGAATGCAGAAGGTCCTCTGTTGTACCTAGGAGAATACCGAAAATATTTTGAAAAATAACACAATTCCTACCGAACAAATTATACTTCATTCTGCGTTTACATCTTCGACTTCTAGAATTCTATTGAAACCTTATTTATCCACATTCATTAAGAAATTTAACTTAGAATAGAACCATACATTCCTCATGTCTAATAGATATTATACAAATGAATCAATTTCCCTCTTCAAAACTTCTTTGGAAGGAAAATTTTTCAAAAAATAAATTCAAAATACTTGGTTTTAAAAGTATTTTGATAGAATGTGATTTACTGTATACTTATTGTTGTTTCAATTACTTCTTTTATTATTCAACTACCCTTTCTCAGTAAAGTATATTTTTGAAACCTCGCAGATGTTTCTAAGCTACCTCACCGCAAACCCATCCCGCGCTCAATAAATAATTCTCAACCGCAAAGTTCTCTTCTAAATTATTATCCGCCTGACTAGATGAAAGCTCTCCGTGTGAAATCTTTGCGCAGAGAAGAAACCGTCAGATTTATCACATTGCTTAAGCGCGCAAGCTTAGGCTTAATGCATAAAGCTTAAAGCGCGTATGATTTATAAGATATCCAACAACAAGGAGGTCGCATCAAATCGTACTAACCTTTGTATTAAAAGCTCATTTCGAGTTAACCCTGCAGCACAATTGTAGAAAGGTAGTTAGTGCCGTTGTAGCGTAAGCCATTACTGAAAGCGACTGCGCATTTTTGATTTGATTTAAAAGGCTGGGTGAAAATTAAACTTCTTTGGGTATCTACTAACCCCGCCTTGGTAATTCTAGACAAAACAAAATCAGTATCACGTGTGTACAAACATTTGAAATTAATATAATGTATTAAATGTAGATGTTTCAAACCAAATCGAAACAAAAATCAGTATCAAAATAAATAAACTTAAAAGATATCGTAAAAACATAAGAAAAATATGAATTCTTATTCTCGTAAACACCGCAGTTTCAGTAGTTTCTATAATTTAATACGTTTTGTGCGTCTTAACGAAATAATTTACAAATGAGTTTGAGCAGAGAAGTATAATAAAATCAACAAATTATTAATTAATTTATTTTATATATGACGAAATTACACGTTTTTGTTAACAAAATAAGATAAAAGTCACCTTCAGTAGTTGTTCAAATGATTCTAAGACCACTTCGTTCCGTGTTATAAATGAGTCATTTCATACCTAATAATCAATTTTCTTTAGCATTTTATTTATAAAATCTCTATATTTAACAAACAAATCAATAAGTAAATAAATAAACGAAGAGGAAATGACAAAAATAAAATGAAGGTTTTCGACTAAATAAAATGTGATTTTTCTCCTTTCGGCTGTCAAGTATTGGCCGGGTTTCCTCGAGTGCCTTAATGACACCACGACAGGTGGCATTTGCTCTCGTTTACCACCGCACTGCCCTAGCGACGGGAATATCAAAATAAACCGTTGGAGCTCTCCACTCGTTCGACTGTCACCTAACGTAATTGGAGAAAGGAGAGCTTCCAGAGCAGAAATAGACGCCCCGGATCGCCCGGGTGTCGTCAGCGAGCCTGTTACAGATACTCCGTTTAGTACTTCGCCGCGACGTGGCAACCTGCCGGTGAAGATAAGGACAAACACTGTTCTCGCCGCTGTTTCCATACCTCGCCTATCGTTGGCATCGCTAGCAGTAGCTCGTTACTTCTCAAACGTACGAGAATCCTCAACGGGCGCGTATAACCCCGAACCACACAATGGCCGCTTCCTGGTAGTAATTTGGAAGATATACGTTAGGTCATAACGTTTGGCGCGGGCGCGCCTTCTCAGTTAAAAGGGGAAGAAGACCCGCGCATTTCTTTTCCGAGAAGTAAACAGGTTCCCGGGTGGATATTAAGAAAAATCCCAGCGCAAATATTTAAAGACTTACACCATCGGTTGGGTCAATATTTCCGAGGCGGCGGCGCGCGGCTCGACGGATCTCGCGTGCGCACGCGGGGACCTCAACGCGCGGGTAGGACGGAAGCCGGCGGGCAGCGACGCGCGCCGGCGTCAATACTGCTGATTGTCGCGCCGACACCTCAGAAAAATCTCACCTCCACTCTAAACGAGGTCCGAAGCGATGCGGGTGGGGTGGCGGGGACGGGGCAGCGTGTCCTAGGTCAACAAGAGCGCCGCCCCGCGGGTCGCTTCTGCACCAGATCTGGAAGGCGCGGGGAGGTGCGTGGCGGCCGTGTGAATAGGAGCGGTGTTTCGACAAAAAAGAGAAAGAAGAGGGCGTTCCGGAGGGGGTGCGCTCGCCCTGCCGCCCCATCAGGTCCTCGAGTCCTCCCTCTCTTCGCGGGCTGCCCACCGCTGCTTCGTGTAGCACATCGCTTCATCCTCAACTAAATGCAGTCGACTCCGGTTATACAAGTAGTGATTGTTACAGAGAAGTGAGGTTTGCCACATCTAATAATTCCAAAATAAAATGGTTTCTTTTCGCTTTATGATTTTTTTAGGTCAGTAAAACATCCAAAGTTAGCGAATTTAAAATTTCAATGTCTTTTATCTTACTTAAAGTTTGTATAGGTTTTCTTATGTTTATAAGTTAATGCTAATAGTATTTCGAGTTTTGTGTGCAATGTTCTTTTCTCCACACTTGGTTATACATTGTTCAAAGCACATAAAATATCTTAGTGCGATCTTTGTAGAGTTGAATGACACTGTAGGAACGTTTTTTTCTTTTGTATTATCGTTGCCATTACACTGGCTTCTTGGCTTCTCTTCATCGCAAATATCGGCTTCTCTTCTCGCATGATTTATTTTATTCTCAAAGAGCCTACCACTTCATTTCATTAACGGATTCGTAGTCAAATGAATAGTTTTCACAATGAAATCCACAATGATCAAAGAACGGTAGAATTGACACAGTTGTGCTGAAACAATTTCTCTTTTGGTATGTTATTCCAGTCCCTTTTATTTGTCGTAAGTGCTTCAAAAATAAACCATAATTCTCCTATTAATGCTTAGAGTTATTAGAATGAGTGGTCCTGAAATAAAATATTTTTAGGGACGTCATATGTCTTATGTTTACCTATAGAGATAAACAAAATATCTAGAGTTTATCTGTAATATGAATCTACATCAGTGATTGTAGTTCACCATAACTGATAGATCACTTTATCTGAGATCTGAGTTCACCAAATCTAGACAGGACTGTATTCAGGAAAGTCCAAATGTTCTCGATCTGAGAAATGTTGTGCGTGAACCAAACAAAATATTGTTTTTTTTAAGCTTAACATTTACGACATCTACGCCCTCAGTTGGGTACTTTTCCGATTATTCCAAGTCGTCAGATCTATAGACTCACTTTACCTGCATTCACCTGCAGAATTTAATGACTATTGAAAGTCCTCAGTGAAATATTTACGAGTAGCAGCAGAAAATGCATTTCGAATGCATTCTACAATTTCGAGATGATTTCATTTTTAAAAAATAATACTCATAATTATAAGAAGTAATGTTCCCCTTGTTCCTGACGCGTTCCTCGGCGAAATAAAGAAAAGAACCCAACTAAAGGTGCTAAGTATTATCATGTTCTATCGATATACCAAGCTTCAGCGTTATGTTAAACTTCGAAAAGATACTAATACAATTTTCTGTCTAAGTGGGAGTAGATTGGGCTGGGAACATTTTATCATTTTCTCGTATGTTTTCTCTTACATCAAATACATTTCAATTTTAATTTGTTTTCCTGAAACGCCCCTTGCATTCTTGCACTCTTTTTTTGATGATTTCTTGTTATTTCTCTTTCTCGCATTTTACTCTTACTTTCCTGCGTATCATTGTCACTTTTTCAGTAAACTTTCTACCAGATTTGTCCTCGGGTTATAATGGTTTCTTTCGTGCCATTCTTCTGCCTAGCCTATATTTATTTCATTTTAGGAGTGGATATTTTTCCCCATTTCAAATGAGGTAATAATACTAAATCTTTATGTTCATGTTCATATCATTATGCTGCATTCTCTGAATACCGCCAGAGATGTTTCCACGTTTTCGAAAATTAATAAGATTTTTGCATATTTTCAGTCAGTTTTCGTCATGTATGTTCGAACATGTATTGCCAATTCATTTTCTAGTACGCTTTAACGTCTTGCAATATTTTCTTAGTTTGTATCATATTCGTGTTCATGTTTTTCAGATCTGTACGGTCACCGTATATATGCGACTGAGAAATGCCTCTACCACATACGCTACCTGCCTTTTTCATTTTAAAGCTCGCGGACATTCAATCTTCCAGATTCCATCCTGGTTTCTGTCGCCAGTTATGTCTTCTCCTCGCCCTATCTCTCTCGCCCTGGCAGCCCCCACCAGCGGCGGAGAATCTCGCAGGTAGAAACAAAGTGTGCCCAGGAATTCGCGTTCCTGGACCCGCGGCGCCCGCCGCCGCCGTCGCTTCGCTCATGGCCTGTGCGCTGGTCGCCCAACACCTGCTCTCGACGGCCTGCGCCAGCGCCGATGCCGCTTTGTTTGGGGCGGGTGATGTGTGTAATCCCCGGTGCTGTCGCCGCTGACAGCCTCCTATTACCCATTGGGCATGGCGGGCGCGACGGCCGCAGAGCATGTGGCGGACGGATGCGCCGCTCAACGGCACCACGCGCGTGGATAAAGTGCGTCTGTTAAATCAATTTCGCGAACCCTTCTGCGATAATGGAATATGCCGAGGCAAATATGACGTGTAATGAATGTAATATCCACACAAATATTTGCAAATTGAGATTGGTGTTATGCATGTCAGGGTCTAATGTCGACTTAGTGGATTGTCTAAGTGCGTGACGTGAAATATCAGAGAGAGTTGTTTTAGGTTGTTACGGAGAATCGCATATGGCTGTTTAAATAGCGGAAACTCTTAGCCGAAGCCTAGGATTTTAAGTTGAAATGGTAAATAAACTCATTTCGTTGTATTTAAAAAATGGTTATTAAAATTTGAAAATAAATCAATGAAAAATAAACTAAACTTTCATTTTTCATTCATATGTAAATTTTTTTAATGTTGCACTGCAAGAGCCAAGACAAGTTCCTTTTCTCACACTTAACGATATTTTCTGAGAAACAATTAATCCAAAGCACATGACTCCTTGGTAATAATGAGTCCTTATTTGAGCGAAAATATTTACGACGATAAAAATTCATATATTTTGGCTATACATGAGTATTTGCAGATCGAAATTACACATTAATGTTAATTAGTTTACTTATTCACAAAATACTCAACAGCGGTTGTTTTGTGATACAAGCATCAGACTATTGAACTCACGGAAAATCAAAATTTTTATATCTCTCAATATTATCATTTCAAACTTTCAAATTTTCCGTCTTAATTTTCCGTTACAAATTAATGTACTTCTAATTAACATCGATAGGTTGATTTTTTAGATTCGATGTGTTGTATTTTTAAATGCGGAATATTCTGATAAAAGATTGTGGTCACCCCGATTGGCGAAGTGTGAGTTCCAATAAGTGACAGTTCCTTGCCTCGTCCACCAGAAAGACAAAGCAGGAGTGAGCTGATGGTCTCCTTGGGCACTGCCCATATCGCACCCAGTGCTTGGAGCACCATGGCGAGGCGGTGTCTCGCGGCCAGGATTCGATAGACAATACATTTCAGTAACAAACTTCTAACGATTGAGGCAAAAAATGCATTTGTTTCCATTGATATATAATGGTTCTTTCGGTGCCATTCTTACTGCCTATCCTATATTAATTTCATTAGGAGTGGTATTTTTCCAAGAACATAGACCTTTCTTATTAACATGACTACTTAGCATGCATCTATAACTCTTATCTATCATACCGTCCATATCAACTACACATAAATCGGCAGCGTTCTTTCGTGTATCATCTACGCCGTGCATCTTAGAGGATCGCTCAGTTAGTCGCAAAATTAAGTACACATCAATATCTATATGTCAGTTGATGCATAAATCATTCATTGCATGTGTTTTCGATACATGTTATTGCCAATTTCATTTTCTAAGTATACGAGTGACACTAATAACGTCTGCAATATGTTTCTTAGTTGAATCATATTCGTGTTCATTATACATGTTTTCAGATCTTACCGTTGCTATCAGTTAAGTATGGACTGAGAGAATAGATGCTCTCTACCTCACAACGCTAGCCGCTTCCTTTTTCATTTAAAGGCTCCGCGTGACATATCAATTCCAATTTCCAGATGTCCATCCGGTTCTGCGTCGCCATTAATTTTCTCCTACCCGCCCTACTGTCTCGCCCTGGCAGCCCCCACCAGCGCGGAGATTCTCCAGGAAGAAACAAAGTGTGCCCAAGATCGCGTGTCTACCAGGACCCGCGGGCGCTAGTCCGCCCGGCCGTCGCTTCCCTCAATGGCCTGTGTCTGGCTCCAACAACCTCTTCTCGCCGGCCTGCCCACGCCGATGCCGGCTCTTGTTTGGGCGGTGATGTGTGTAATCCCGTGTCTGTCCGCTCGTGACAGCTCCTATTACTACATCTTGCAGGGGCTGCGCGAACTGTAGCCGAGCAGAGCATTGGACGGAAACTGGATGCGCCGGCTCAACTGCCTAAGCACTACAGCGCGTGATAAAGTGCTTCTGTTAAATGTCATTTCGCTGAAACCCTTGGTCCTGCGAGTATATGAATATGCTGCCGAGCAAATATGACGTGT